TGGGGCATGAGGGGATAGGGTGGGATGAAAGGTTGAAGGTGAACTCAGGTAAGGGCAGGGGTAGAAGAAACACCTGGTAGGTTTTGTCTTTGCTTCTCACCATCATCCAAACCCTTTTTAATTAGCAATAAATTAATTTTCTCCAAGCCAAGTCCATTAGGTCTGTTTTGATTTCTCTGTCATTACCTCACCCCATGAACTTCCTCACTTTGTGTGCTTTCTCTGCTCTGTGAAGAGAAGAGCAGGTTGCAGTCTCTAAAATTCCTTCTTAATTCTACTTGATTTACTCTCCAGCTCCTCCTGTTATAGACTTTCACTCTGTTCTTCCCAGCAGCTCACTTTATCCGAGCACAGATATGTTCCCATGCGCATTAGCCACTACTATTTCCCAGCAGGACCAGAACATGTTCATGACACTTGCTATCTTCAACTGCAGCAGGCAAAAGCTTTTTGCACAATAAATTCAGCTCACTGTAAGAAAATACACAACTGGAATACACAACATGGTGTGAAAAAGTACACAACTGGAATACACAATACAGCCCATTATGACCAAAACCAATGTGTGCTGCTGAAATCTCACAACATTCTGAAGCATAAAAGTAGCAAAGACCTTGTTTTGCTTTCCACAGCAAAGTTAAGTCTCCATATATAGAAATAAATACTTTTTAGATTAAGTGTTTTGCAGCTTTTTTACACAGTTTTTCAGCACATGAAAACACAGGAGGCCTGGAACAGTCACACTAACATGCACTTCTTTCAAGCTTGTGCCTTATCTTCACAATCACCTCTCTGTTTACTTCAACCTTTTTTAAAGCCAATGTTTCAAATGTAGAGAGAAGCATATACTCACTGTAGTACTGGCAAATCTGAAGTAATCATTTTTGCAGCACTCTTGGAAGTAAGAGCTACATAGAAGTTCTTCTCAAAGTTATTCTAAGACAACGACTTGGAAACCTTGGAAACCTCTTTCATGAAAGCAATGTCAAAGTCCAGTCTGTAAGAGAGAGAAAAAAAAATTTTAGATGTGACTCCAAAATAGTAATACATTGAATAAAACATGCTGTCAACAAAAAAGGACAATTTTGAAGTAGCACCACTATTAAACCACAAGAACTACAGAATGAATGACCCCAAAAAAGCTTAATCATATTGCTGAATTCTGTTTTTACATTTCTGTTTAGGTAACTTCGTGCAATTAAATAAAAATTTAAAAATAAATGTTCTGCATTACCTCCCATACTTGTTTACCACATATATAGGTGTTTAAATGGCACTACACCTATTCAATGAGACCCTCAGGCTCATAGCTTTGTGTGACTGAACTTCACAAAATAGTCAGAAGCTGTGCAAGGGTCTAACTGCAGCAGAAGCTATTTTAACTTAATGAAACTGAAGTTGTAAGTTTAAATAATAAAATAGACTGCATCTGTGGTGTCACTACACCCACTAGTAACATTTCTCTAACCAAAAGACTAGCCAACGAGCTGACTAATGGCAGCAGATGTGACTTTACCATTAAATAATGGCACAATGTGACAGATTCAATAATCTTCACTGTAATAAAACACACAACTGCCATCCTAGTCTTCCAGGAAAAGCAAGTTCTGGAGAAACAAAGATTTGTTTCAGTCTCTCCTTTTACACGTCCTGGAGTAATATGAAGAGCTGCATGCAGCACTGCAGTTCAGCAATGGCAAGGAATACCAAGGACTCAACTGTGTGTTTTTGAAACATGGGATATGTTCAAACTCTTTTATTTACATACTTATTTCCTCTTGATGGGCATTTTTTTTCCTGTACACTAGTAGCTTTGCACAAGGCAGGAGGAAAATCCAGCCAGGAAGAGGTAATATACCAAACAGAGGAGCTAAATGAATGTGTACCCTTCTAAACAAATCAGTACAGCATAGAAAGTATAATTTCCATCTTAATACACACACCCCAGTGTTTATTTACCAACTGTGCAGAATGAACAGAGTTTTTTGCTTCTTCATATTACACTTCCAATTAGACTCACAGTTGCACACAACTAGTTCTTCCAGTACTTACTACTTTGTGCTACCAACAGTTGTACTTACAGTGCCTTATCATGAAATTTACATTTTTGTATACCATTTAATTAGCAAGCCATTTTGTTGCCAAACACATGTTAACAAACAAAGTCTGTTTGGAGCTAAAACCACCACTCAGCATTAATGGTTTAAAGGGGCCAATACACTAGGCTGGTGTAAAAGCTCTCCAGTTTCACTATGAGATAGGAGTTAATCTGAGTTCTCCTCAAACAAAAATGTCATATACACTATTTGTGCTATTTCCACAAACTTTTCTTCATTAAAGACACTGCCCATTGCTGTGTTTCAAAAGATGTAATTGCTCCTAACAGGGCAACGATATATCCAGTCCACAACATAAAGCAACCACTTCAGACACTGGTAAGAATTTATCATAAACAAACACAGCATTAGATCAAATAAAGTTGTGAGTTGACTTCCTATATGAAAAAATAAAGGCAATGTTCAGATCTCTGAAACGGAGAAGTTCACTACAACTGGAACAAGACTGAAGAAGGAAGGGTTTTTTTTAACTCACAAAAACAGTCTCACATAAACACACATGCTTAGGCTAGCTGGATGTAAAAGGAAACCTATCCATCTTGGACCTTCAGATTATTTAATTCTAGCAGGATTCATGGCAATCTTACTTTCCAAAAAAGCTTTCTGAAGAAGTTCAAGGAAATTTATGTGTGCTCCAGGTGAGGAATTTTCCACAGACTTTTAAGGCTTCCTGCACAACTGCTATGTGGGATTTCTTTTCTTAATTTTCCTTTTTAACCTAATCACCCTTCCCAGCTGTTGGTTGTGCATGCTCAGATGTAATTAGCAGCATTCAGCTGCTCTAGGGAAGTGCTCTCACACACACAGAAAAGGACACTTGCTCAGAGATACCTTATTTGAAAAGCAAAGTCCTGACTTGGAAGTATGGAGTGAAGGGTGTAAAGAGCCAGAAGCAGAACAGAAGACCAAGGCAGGTGGATCCATAGTGCTGGGACAGAAAACCTGACACCAGGGAACTGCAAGGGCCTGTGCTGCTTCATCCCTGTCCTTATGCTAAAAAGGAAACTGCTGCTAAAACAGGGCTGGAAAAAGCCACCCCTCTGTGGTAAAGTTCAGACTGGACCATCAAAAGACAACAGTTACCCTCCTACACTCTTGTATTAATACAGCCAGTGTATGACAAAATACTGTTTGACAACTGTGGAAAATTCATTTATCCTTATGGACTACACAAATATGAACCTTCATGTTTTTTTGGTTTTAATAGAATAAATACCTATTTCTATTCTTATAACCAGGAAAATCAAACTTTCCCTCTTTCTCTCCTTCCACCTGAGAACAAAGTCATCAATAAAAAACATCCTGAAAGCTTGAGACTGTTTTCTCCAGGACTATTGCCTGGCCTGGAGAACAGAACATGGAGAGGAATACTTCATACTTCAGCATTTGGAGTTAAATAAACACAAACAGTCCCTTAACATGCAGTCAACTGCTTATTTTACTTTAGCAAAAAAAGTCTGATGTTTTAATTCAATCCAAATTATAATGACCTTTGTACCTTTGCAGCTTTGAACCTGCACCTCTGTATTTCAAGATTACATAAATTTATGCTGGTCCAGTTAAAATTACCTATAGAGGAATATAAAGCAGGCAGTAGAAGATACCTTTTAGTTCAAAAATACAATGGAAAACAAGTAAATGTTTCCCTTTTTTTGCCTGTTTTCCAAGCATGCACAGTAATCAGGGCAGACATGACAGCCATTATATAAAAGTGCCTTTATAAAAAATGTATTTTCTAGTAGATTGTCTGTCTTATTATAGTGTTTCTTCAATAACAATCTCATAATGAGCTCTGTTTTAAAAAGACAAGGATTTTACAACAATTAATCCAATACGTGCATTCCATCAATATTTCCTGTAGGTTTTACTAACACACAAAGCTACCCATATTTTTTGCAGTCCTTGGGTTGTTTGCCTCTCCAGAGCTGAAGTAATCAACCCATTTTAGCCAAAAACCAAACAAATTAAAAGATTGACAACATCCTGACATAGTCCATCCAAGCAATTCTCTGACAGCAACAAAACCAAATACAAGTTAAACTAACTTTAATGTAGACTAGGTACCTACATCTTATAAAGTTGAACCAAAATTTAAATAACAAAGAAAATCAACTACTTAATCTACAGTTACTACCTTATTAATTCAATTGCCTAGAAGACACCCAAAACAAAAAGGTAACAGGCATTAGGCTGACTTCTAATACAAAATCCTTTCCTTGTTGACCGAATCACCTTACCCTTCCCAAGTACAAAATATATTCAAACAACAGCTCAGACAAATGAAGCAATGTCTTCTACAATTAACTGGTCATGCCTTTACCCCCTTCCTTCATTTCCCATTTCCAATGACCCTGCTCTCTCCCTCGGTGCTCCCTGCTGGAGTACATGATGGTGTGTCACTCCTGCACAGCACCAGAAAACAAGACATGGAAAACTCTATTTTTTCATAGTTTAGAGACAAGATTTGTCCCCTCAATATTCTTGTCCAAAACTTGCATCTGACCACTAGGAAAAGGCATCAGCACAAACAACAATCCTGCACTGTACACCCAAGCAGAGCTTCCATCAACCAGGTGAGAGAGAAGAGAGGATCAGATGCAGGCAGATAAATTCTTACTTTCACTGCTTTATCCAATGTCTTGGGCACAACATGGAAACCCCTCCTGCCCAGCTACCCATCTGCAAAGTGGAAAAAGTATCTAGAAATTGCAAACATGAATTCTAAATCCAGCAGAAACAGAAAAATCAGCAGCAGCAGCGAACCTTGTAACAAATTTACCAAATGCCATGATGCGTTTGCATCACTCGGGAATTTTTGTTTGCTCTGCATTAAATATTCTATAAGCATAAGCTTTTTTTCTGCTAAAGGTTTGGAACTTGAAACATATTAATTCATGTTGACCCAACAGTCTTTTGATCGAAAGCCAAATTAGATCATCACTCCCAGCTCTGATTTTGAAAGGACATAGTACCATTTAAAGCCAAACAAAGCATAATGTTCATTCAGCCCATCTTTAAAATAATTTAATTGAAGTTCTGTGTACAATATATATTGCACTCTATCACATTCTAATGAGTACTTGAACCAAAATTGAAAGCCCAAGTGATAGAAAAATTATCACTGAGCAGTAGTGAGTTCCTCAGTACTTATGGTGCATAGCAAGCTCTCTATGTGGTCTGCAGCATTCCCATTCCAGTCAAACCATGACAGAAGGAGGAAATATCAGCATCAACTAGGCTAGCACAGCATGGCCATGCTTCACTTCCTGCACCCATCAAAATCATCCAGGATATATTATTAGTAGTACCCCACATCCCTCTCCAGTGTGCCTCTGCTGTTCTTGTTAGCCATTTCAGTACAACCAGCAGTGGCACGGCACTGTCAAGCCCAAAACCCTGGGAGAGCTGTTTGACACACAGATGCTTGTGCTGCTATTCAGAGGGACCTGGGCAGACTGGAGCACTGGGCACACAGGGATGATGTGAAGTTCAATAAAATGTACAGCCAAGAACCACACAGCAAAGACCTGTACACAAAAGTGGAGTGTTTAGCAGATGCTTCTTATCTTTGACTTAAGTTTCTTTTGTTTTCCATTCTTTACAGGTATCACCAGACATTTTACCTATACCTGTGGGATCAAAAACTGCCTTGTGGCAACCACTAGCTGTCCATTTAAATTGCCTTCAATTGCAGTTGTCTCCTCAGTTGCACCAACACACAGAACTGACTCTACAGGCAAAACAGCTGTTGCTGCTTCCTCTCACCAAATGCTTTTAGCCTAGACAGGTCCTGCCCAGTCAGCCAGAAAAATCATCTGAAGTGTCACATCACAGCGTGCAAAATTATTCTGTGCTGCTCGACATTCCAAACACAAGACCTCACACTGAAAGGCTGCACAAATCCCTTCTTCCAGAGCTGGGAATAAAATAATCTTTACGTTACAAAAACATCCGAGCCATAGCACCACACTTCTATACTTAGTTTTCTGTCTCTAAAAATGTGTGAGCTGCCAAAACCAATCAGTTTTTCTGTATCTTCTGCTACCATTTCCAGAAGGTAGCAGCTAATTCCTGTACTGTGCAGGTCTGTGCTAAGGCACCGACACCAAGATCACACAGGAAAGCTGATACAACCCTTTAACCATGGCTATAGTAGCATAATTAATTTAAATGTCATACATCACTCAGACAATTGTTTGATCTCTAGTGTTTAGTCCAATAGCTTTTAAATATATTCTCATATACTGCTTTCTTCTAACACCTAGGATACTAATACTAAAAATACTAATCAATGCTTCATGGTAGCAATTGCCTATAGATCTGGCTTGCTCAAGAACAGAAATGTTATAATTTCAATTGGTAATTATAATTTTTTTTAAATAAGCATAAATTTTATGGACTGAGCATATGAAAACAAGCTTGCTTTCCCTTTGTTATTCTTACAGACTCTTCAGACATAAGTGCTCCTTGCTCTGTGGACACTTGAGAAATTTGACCTGATTTTATGCAGCACTGAGCATTCATAACTATTGCTGAGATCACCGGGGGCTACGGGCACTCCATCACTCATAGGGCAAATAATTATGGGCTGATTGCAGAAGACTGAGAGTTAAGGCACTGAGTTCTAATGTTAGTCCAATATCTGGATGATTCAGGTCTACATTAAAAACTTGCTCCTTCCCATCTGTCCATTAGGATAACAGCAGCTACCTACCAGCCTCAGGCCTACCTGCTCTGAACACAAAATACACAAAACAATAAGGGCTCTACTAAGTTACTTTTGTCCTCAAGCTGTGAGACTGAATAGATGGACCCTTGAAGCCTTCTGCTTCTCTGCACTTGTATTTCCAAAGCTTAGGAGTCTTGAGAAGATAAACTCAATTGTCTTTTTAAGATAATACATGAGTATTGAGAATCATAAAAAACCACCATGGAACAAGTTTTAAGTTGAGAGAGAATTTGCTTATTGCAGAAAATGAGGAGTCATCTTCCAAACAAAAGACTGAAAAATCAATAAAAACTTGCAAAAGACTGAATAATGAAAGGGACAGTATAAGAGTGAGTTAGCAAGATAATTTAAGTTATCAAGGTAGTTAAATGTTCCCCCCAAAAGGACAATTCTGATCAGCTGATGCTTACTCAGCTCACTAAAATGACCAAAAGCTTCTTGAGGTTTGATTTTTCTTCTTGCACAGTTGATTTCAGTGGACCAAGCCAATGTTCCAGGAGGCTCTAACACACCTGTGCCCAGGAAATCAACAGGAGGGTACAACTGGACACAGACCAGACTGAAGAGGATGACTTCTTTTCCCATATGTAAAAACTGCTGCAAAAGCAATGGAAAGGGACAATAAAGTTTTTCCTCAGTGGGAACACACAAGCAATGGGTTTTATTGAAGCAAGGAAAACTCGGGTAGGACATACAAACCAGGTAAGGACCAGTGAAGCTCTCCAACAGTTTGCTCAATCAAATGTGAATTACCCACCACTGAATATTTTTGCTTTTCCCAAGTAGATTGGTCATGTTTGTCAGCTGCAACAGGCAAAGTCTGTGATGAAAGCTTATTCTGAGGAGCTTGAAACAGCTGGGAAAAAACAGACAAGGCTTTTGGGACACAGCCTGCTTTGGGTCTGAAAACATGGCACAAGCAGAGCTGTGCCTACTGGAGAGAAAGGCTGGGGACTAGGCCAAATCTCCACACCCTTTCTTACCCCCATCTCTTCTAAAGTTTCTGGGATTTTTACCTTCAATCAAATATGTGTGACAATAATTAAAACTAAATACAGTGATTAAAATCACACTCAAGCACTGCACTGAGTGATCATTCCCAGAAAATAATCCACATCTAGAGGAAGGCAAGAATCCCTGGTAGAGTCAGACACGTAGAGGGCCACAGAGGCTGTAGATATTTGTCTCTGTGCAGCACAAAGCACAGCAGGCCAGGAGCTCACACTGTCTGCAGGCACACCAGAAGCACCGTTAATAGATTTTTATGCTACCTCAGAAAAGTGTTTACTCATCTGTAATTTTTCTCAGCAGTGGACATCTGGTGTTCTATTATTCATTGTATCTGGAAAATTGCCAACAATAAAACCAATTTTCACAAAAAGGAAGCAAAGACTGACATGCAGTATGCTGGAATAAAGAGAAAAAACTCTCAGAATGGTTCACATGTTTGTTCTCTTTGTCTTTTCTTTTCTCCTCATATGGGGGACTCTGAGTAGAAAAGCCAAAAGGAACTGCAGAACATTTTTTCCAGATTATAAAAGAAAACAAGCATTGTGAATTCACATATAAATTAAAACTCTGAAATGACTGATTCTGGTACTCATTTGAACGTATGGGGGAAGTGCGCAAAGGCTAGATGAAAATAAGGTCACTAAAATACTAACTTAGCAGCTAAGAGAAAGGATATTTAATGGTCAATATAGAGACTTGTATGTATCAAGTAGAAGAAAATGTAGTACCACTTGAATGTGTAATATTGCACCAATTTGCTGATAGGCACCTATAATACTCCCTCAAAAGAACACAAATGTATAATGTTTTTTCAAAGGAAGGTGGTGGTGTTGAGGACTTTGTTAAAGCATTCCCACCACCAAAAACTGATCCTGCGGGAAGCCAACATCTCAGACTCTGACCTTTGAAGGAACAGCTCCATCAATTCCTTCGTTGCCAGACCTGTCAAGATCCACAGCCTTGCAAAGATGTCCTGATCCAAGACCCTCCAACAGCAAAGATTTCTGGGCATGATCTCAGAGTGACTGAGGCACTGAAAGCCTTGCCTCAGTATTCCCATCTGCTCCAGAGATAAGCCTTACAAAGTTTTAGGCTAAGAGTATGTCAATGCTATCAGTTCAGGAACTGGAAGATCCTGGTGCACCAGTTTTTCAGGGTCCAGGGAATTCAGCAATGCTCCAATGACAAAACCCCATGGATTCCTGTACTACTGCCTAACAACAGGTTGGAGGCTCAGCTTAACCCTCAACCTGATGCAGTTAATTGGCATCTGCTCCACTACAGCTCCTTATTCACTCAAAGATCATCTTTTTGTGTACATGAGGGTATGTGGATGTTTAAAATTAAGTACTTCATGTTTCAAGCTGCTTGGAAGTGATGGTGCATTTTAAAAAGGGATTAGTAAATATCCAGTAAGTATTTTATAAGGACCATAATGCTATCCCCTCTGCAGTGGGGCAGTCCAAACACCCTTGTTTTTAGTAATCATTTTTACTAGCACTAAGTGGACAGGGGTTCCACTGATGATATTCATTTAAACAGGAATAAATTTCAACTGCAAATACAAGAGCCATTTTTCTTCCATTGTTAATTATTTTTAGCCCAAGTAACTCTGTAAATTATTTTTCTAAAATCTCATTTGCTTTAGCATATAAGAGACATGTCAAAAGAGGTCATGGTACCACAGATTTTTTGATTCTTGATTCTTGACATTCTGTGGGACAATCAACAGAGCATATGGATGTACCACAGAGAGGGAGTAATTTCCATCTCTTTCCCATATCCACTAGTCAGAGAATCTAAATTATAAACACCTGAAAAGCTTCTCCTAAATAAGAGTTTGTTAAAACTGAACAACAGTCAAAAAAAAGGAGCAGAGGTAGACCATAAAAGATTAGGTTATCAAAAAAAGCTTATAAATATCAATAGAAAAGTTACAGAATCAGCCTCTACTTCCCAACTTTAACAACTTCTTGACAAAATTCATCCTGATATCAAACCAGACACCCTCCACCTATATCTCGTACCAGAACAATCCCTCTTCTGAACCAACCCACAACTTGCAGCATTTCAGGGAAAAAAAACACCCAAGCCCTAAATCCCACCATGTCCTAGACACCAAAGAAAAAGCTGCGAGTAATCTCAAATCCTGTCACTAGCAAAACAAGCAGGCAACTCTAACTTGGCTCTTCTTCATTAAAATTTGCTTCAAATTCTCCTCCTAGTAAATGAATCAACAGTATTCTCTACCAAGAATTTTCCTATGTGTGCCCCAAGACCAAGAGGCTGTGCAGGTTGTTAATCCAAGGAGACCAGGCGGAAAAAAAAGCCCATCAGAACACGTTAAAGTATTCCCCTCTTCACTACTCTGAGTTGGTTACAAGACAAACTACACAATTTAAATCATCCCTCCATCAAACCATCAATGGTACCACAATCTCACTAAGTCAGATCATCAGTTTCCCACCGACCACATTTTGCCTTAAGAACTCAAAGAACACTAACTCTAGTGTCCACATGCTGCTACATAGTCCAAATCCATCCTAACCTGATGTTGCCCCAGTCTAAAGGCAGTGGACAAGACTCAAACAGGCTGAAATCCTCACAGGCTTATTACTTCAACAAAGATTATAAAGGTCCAACCAAGCCTACTCTTCTGAAACATTTAGGTGACATGTACTTTTCCTCTGAAAACATATACACTTTCAAAGCCATCCAATGTGTGACACCAAACACCTCTATCAGACCATTCCCAAAGCCTTCACTGAGACTGGTTTCCTGTCCACCAGGCCAACACCTCCTGTCACAAAGCCAACAACGTGAAACTCAAACAAGCCATAAAGTGGAGGCAGTGCCCCAAGAGCCTGGGTGTGTGCTGTGAGCACTTAGCACTGCACTGAGCCAAGAGAACCTTCCCAAAGACTCCCTCACACAAAAATCTACCAGCATTGCTGAACAAACCTCACCAATGGTACATCCTCCATCAGTACACATGGCACAGCTTCTGACCTGTAGCAGCAGTACAGTCAAATCCTTCACTGAAACAGCATAGCTTAAAAAATTTCTTCTCATCTGTCTTAAAACAACCTGACCACCACAACAAAGTTGTGAGGAAAAGCACATTTTTTTCAATGGACACATACAGCCATGCTGGAGCTAGAAATAAAAAGCCTTGCAAGCATGTTTCCCATGTGACCTCATACTGCAACCAAAATTCAAATCTAAATCCACAAGCTAACACAATTCCCCAAAGCCCAATGGCTTCCCCAGCACTACACAGGTGAACAGCAAAAGGATGAGAAGCAGACAAGGAAATTATTATTTGCCAGAAGAACACTTCCCACAACAAAACCATTCCACTCCTAAGTTCTCACTCCTGATCCAAAACACTTAAGAGAGGTGTACAGCTGGAAAATAAAGATTCACATTCATTTTAATTAATTGACTCAAAAAGGAAAGTGACTTTATCCCACATTAGTTTTCTCCATCCCTATAACTTATCTCTCTGCCCCACAGGCAATACTTCCCCACAGCTCAGCAGAACTCACAGCTTTCTACCTGCACTGAGCTTCAGGATTGTGGCTTTATTTCAACCTAAAGCAGTGTAATCCAGGAGCTTGCCTACTTTTTCACAGCAATGTCAATCAACCTAAAAAATACATTACCTGTACCTACAAGCCTTTCCTAATTGAGACTGAGACATAAGGGAACAAAAGAATCCAAGAACTCAAGAAGTAAAATGCAAGCTAAAATAGGGATGGCTACCCACCGACATTTCGTAATTACCTTCCTAACAAATAAATTATTAAGAAATTGGAACTAAGTTATTATCAAGTACTATGTACAACTGGCAACAACTTTGCAATAGGCCAAAAAGCAAATAGCAGTAGGGAAAAGAAAAATTAGTGCCTGGGGAAAATATTTATTTTAGCTCAGTAAGTAATCCTGAAAAAAAGTTTATCATTCAGAAACTAATTTTGGTTAGTAAAAAACCCTAGAAAGACTAGATAGCGGAGGGCAAAACTGCTTGCTCTTTGTTATTTAAAAAGGTCTTGTGTAGAACAATAAACCCATTAAAAGGGAAACTTTCTCAGGGAAAAAAATGTTTGAAAAAACCCTTAGTATCTCTTCCAGTGCTTTTTCATTGTTCCATATACAGGAATGATGAGTGCACAGATAGAAGATAATGATCACACTGTGTGGAACCAGTTGAGAGGCCAGTTCCAAACTGGACAATCTGACAAACCAAACAAACATTATCAGAAATACAAGGAGGAGAGGCAAGAACACAAAAAAACAGTGCATGACCTGGACAAGAAGATAATTCAGTTTCCTTTCTTGAGGACTTCACATCCATCCAAGCTGTTTGCCCTCCATCTCCTGACAATTTCCACCTGTGCTGCCAAACACCAACAGGCCTGACAGAAGGACAGGTATCTCAAAAGGGCATTTCTGAAAGGAGGCAATGGTGAGCCCAGTACTCTGGCACAGGACCAGGACCTGCAGGGCTGCTTTTGTCCTGTTTATCAGACTCATTGCACAGAGCCCACATGCCCTGCCTGGCCCAGGGCAGGTGCAGAGGTGATGCTGTAATGAAGGTGTAGAGCACAAGAACACAGGTTAACTGTGATTTACTGCAGTGCAGCATCACCAAAACATGCTTTGCTAACTGCAGTGACCACACAACTGCTGATTTCCCACCTTCTTCCTCACTTCCCTTTGAGCGTTTTCCCTCTTGACTCAATACTTTACTTTGAAGGCATGGCAACAACTCAAACTTCAAAGCTATCACTAATTTACTTGGACACTCTAATTTGCAAACACTGATGATTTCTTTTATAACTGTATCTTGCATTGCTTACAGAAATACAGGAACACTTCTTTTTATTTCTGAAGAGTTATTTGACAAGCAGATGATA